CGTGTATTAAATTTTTTGGATAATTAGTTTTCGTGCAGTTTCCATGCAGCAATACTGAAACCATGCTTATCTGCATAAAATTTCATATTTATGCATTGTGAGGGGTAGTCAAATACCCTTAGTATATTTTTTTATTTATTTTTCTTATTATGTATTTTGTTTTAGGCTTCGAAGTTGCCTTTTTAGTAAATTAGATTAAGATTAGCATAACTGGTTTAGAACTGGTAATTATAACCGAACATCCTTACTTTATTTAGGATGAACACGAACATTTGGATATTTGAACATTTGGACATTTGAACATTTGGACATTTGAACATTTGGCATTCTTTAAAATATTTAAATGTTCAAATATTCAAGGCTTGGCAAGAGAAGCCATAATTAAAATTAGAAAACCTGTTGTATTTTCTTGAGCACGAAAGCTATAAAAGCGCCGACTTTTTGTTTTAATAAAGAACAACTCAGTAGAGTTACAACTTCGAAATCATTATAGTAGAAGTTTGTCCTTTAAAAATTATTATTTTCCTTGACCCAAAAACATTCATAACAAAACCAATTGATAAAGTACTTTCCTGATCCGATATCTTGTTAGAAAATCATTTTTATTGAAAGCTTCGTTAAGATAGAGTTGGAGCCTTTGAAATTCGAGTAGAAGTGCTCACTCTAGTTATCCAATTCACTTTAGTTATCCAATTCACTCTAGTTATCCAATTCACTCTAGTTATCCATTTCACTCCAAACTTTTATTAAGAGTTACTTACTCGATTAAATTGTTAGCTACATTTAAATACCCTGATATTAGTCTAGAGACCTAAATATCACTTATAACAAAACCCATTACCCAAAGAGAACCCAAGTTTGCATTATTTCACCTCTTTTATAGTAGATTAGCTTGCTAACCCCATGATCTATTGTTAGCGGCATTTATTGAACAATATCATCAAAATTACCTGTGATCTTGTGATATCACCGGCAAAATCAAAGATCCAATTCTGATATTAATTACTCGTGACACAAATTGCCAATCGTAGATTAAATTAAATCACCAATTGCTACCCGAAATCGTGATTTCATCACACGTGACTCAAAAGACACAATACGTTCAAAATAGAATAGAAAAGTGGTATTAGTAATAATATCGAAGATATTATTAAGCTAAGATTGCTAGTTTAAATAAGAAAAACTTATTCAAATCTCAGAAACAACATTGCAAGGCCCGAAGAACCTTAAAACCTGAACCAAATCTTTCCACGCCTCTTCTGAAGCTTTTCACCTTAAGGTTTTAGATGTCTTGAAGCGAAAGATTAAATTAGTTAGAGTTTAGCTTAGTCAGATTAGCTAGTTTTAGTCCAAAATCATTAGCCACGCCCTTCTCAATTGGTGGTGACTTCAAAATACCTACTTTTAACCTTACAACTATTTTTTTTTTAAAAAAAAAAAAAAAAAGAGAGAGAATTAATTATTACACAATAGACAAAATGATCTATTTTTTTTTTTAACTTTCTGTTAAGCTATGTCAGATTTAGACCAACTTGAAGACAATAGAACTATCAATGGAAACTGATGATCAACGATGATTTTCAAGTTTCACCAGCAAACCAAAATCAAGCCTATGTATGATCTTCTCCGGGAAATTGCGCAAGCCTTTAGAGAAGTGGTCATTCATAATGTTCCCCAAAATCCATGGAAAAACAACTAGGTTCATGTAAAAACCTTTAAAGGAGAAGAGGATGAAAACCCAGTCGAGTGGATTAAAGCCTTCAAGAGAGCGGCAGATACCAATAACTAGGCCCGTGGAAGAAAAATTAAAATTGTCTCGGGGTATCTATTGGGGATAGCAGCCAGTTGGTACAATGACCAAAGAGAAAATCTATTGTTCTGGGACGACAAAGATAACCCGAAAGACAGTTTCATTCAAACCTTCACCAAGTACTTTGCCACTTCGGAACGTAAGCACCAATAGCAGTTAGAATTAACCACCTTAAGCCAGAAAGAAAAAGAAAAAGTAGACAGATATGCTTACCAATTTAAAAAAATTTTGAAGAAAGTTAACTCTGATCGTCAGATACCCGCCACATACGTCATTAGAATGTTCATGGGAGGTCTCCACAGAAAAATCACCACGTTAATGTCCGCAGATGACTTTGACACATTGAACGAAGCTGTTGCAAAAGCAAGAAAAATAGAAGCTGGTCAATATTATGAAAAAAGAAACCAAAAGGAACCCACTAATCAAGTTGTTGATGAGCTAACACAAAAAATGCAGCAAATAGCTGCAAATTGTGAAAGATTAACAGCAGCTTTGGCTACCAGGATTGAGCCTACCCCACTCCAAACACCAGCCAATATATATTAAGCCCAACCATGACAGTACCGGCCCCAACAACCAAGAAATGAAGATATTGTATGCTATAGGTGTGGGAAAAGGGCCATATCGCCAGAAACTGCTTCTCAGAACAACAAGGCTCCCAACGACCCCTAGCAGACCATAATAGGCCTGCTTCAACTACTAGAAATATAAATCTATATGATATATATGATACTAGCGCAGGAGATGAAGCAAATACCATTAAACGAACTGAAAGACCAGAGGACAAAACAAATTGGAATAATCAATTGAAAAAAAGGGTTGCATTAGAGCCTAACATGGTGCCTTGAACAATTCAAACACCCCAACCAACCCCTATGGAAGAAGATGCACCTACTCAAGCCCCATTTCAACCACAACCTGAAGTATCTAATAGAGTTAGACATAGATGAGGCCCCTCATGTATAAACTCAACACCTCTATAAAATATTGCTAAGGACCTTCTAAACCAACATGCTAATGCTATGTATGCACAACTATTGCAAGTCCCAAAACAGAGGCAAAACTTGGCCCAAGCTCTATGATGCCCAATTATTACCACATTAGAAGCTACTAACTTTGCAGAAAACAAACCCTATCAAAGAACCACGGCAGCTAAATGCTATGTACGAGTCCAAAATAATCCAATTTTAGCAGTTTTGGATTCAGGGGCTGCGGTCAGCATTATATCAATAAAGTTAGCAAAAAAACTTGGGCTTACTATTACAAAACCCTTAAACACCATAGTTATTACAGCCAGTGGGGCTAGGGAACGTGCATTGGGCAAGATACAGTAAGTAAAGCTAGCTATGCAAAATGCACTAATACCCACAGAATTTCAAGTTATAGAAAACCTGAAAGAAATGATGCTCCTTGGCATCAATTGGTTCCAGAAGGTCTGTGCTCGCCTCTACTTTGATGAAAGAAAATTATTCATCCAATACTTGGGTCGACAAATGAAGATCCCAATTTACCAAGCTAAAGAAAATAAGCAAAACCCATCTCAAGATGACTAAGATGAAGATAATGACTTTTTCAACCTCTATGAAAAAGAAAAAGATCTAGAAGAGGTTGAAAGTTATCACACAGATGAAGCTGAGATGGATGAATCAACCCTTAACCCCTACAAAAATATAAATAACCTCGCTATCTACCTAACTGACATAGAAAAGATCCCTATTTCCAGCGAAAAACTTCAAGCTGAATTAACTCTGGATCAAATAATGGAGCAATTAGTAAAAGTAAAGCTCTAAACCCGGAAAAGGAAAAAGAAGCCATCCTTACTTTAAAAAACTTTAACACTCTATTTTCAACTGGGTTAGATAAACTGGGTTGTGCTATAGAAGTCCAACACGAAATTAACACCGGAGAAGCAAGGCCGATTAGGCCGATTAGGCAATCGGCTTATCGAATCACGCCGGATGAACAAGATTTCTTGGACAAAGAAATCAAAATACTACTAGATAACGAGCTCATTTATGAGCTAAAGAGCACCTGAACATCACTGTAGTAATCGTATCTAAAAAAAACGGCAAGCTACGCTTATGCATAGATTATCGAAAACTTAATGCTATAATAACAAAAGACGCATACCCCCTACTATGTATCGACGATATGTTGGACTTATTTAATAAATCTGAGTGGTTCTCGAGCCTCGACTTAGCTAGTGGGTACTGGCAGATTCCAATGAAACCTGAGGACCGGGAGAAAACCGCATTTATTACAAAGCAAGGGGTTTACACGTTTAACGTTATGCCCTTTGGTTTGTGTAATGCGCCGGCCACTTTCCAACAGGCTATGAACTATATTCTATACAAATTCATTGGAAAATATGTTGCTGTATACCTAGATGATATTATCATATACTCAAGAACCTACTAGGAATATCTACTGCACCTCACAAACATTTTCTCTAAGATAAAGGCTGCAGGATTAAAATTTAATCCTGAAAAATGTAAATTATTAAAAAATTACATTAATTTCCTAGATCATACTATAGAAAGAAATGGAATCCAGCCAAACAAAAAAAAGGTAGAGAAGATTGAAAATTTTCCCCACCAACTAACCTAAGACAATTAAGAGGCTTTATCGGCCTAGCCTCATACTATCGACGTTTTATAAAGGGTTTCGCTACTATAGCAAAACCTTGGAAAAAAATATTCTGTATCAATGAAAAAATACTCAGAAACAAGCTTTTGAAACACTAAAAACCCACCTTATAATGGCTCCAGTCCTGAGATATCCAAATTTCGAGAAAACATTCTATCTCTACACTGATGTGTCAGGTGTAGGATTAGAAGTAGTCCTAGCCCAAAAAGACAAAACAAACAGAGAGTATGCCATTGCATATGCCAGCAAAGGACTTACCCGGCCAGAAAGAAATTACTTTGCCACTGAACTCGAATGTTATGTCGTGGTGTGGGCCATGGAGTACTTTCACCATTACCTAGAGTATAAACTCTTTGTTATAGTTACTAATCACTTCACTCTAAAGTGGCTCTACAAGACAGCACTAAAGAGAAGAAGGGCCCAGTGGATTTTACGCCTACAACTCTACATTTATGTCATATTGCATAGAGCAGGAAGAGTACACAACAATGCTGACGCATTGTCTAGAATGATTGAAGAATTGCCGCAAGATAAAGAGGACAAAATGGTTAATGATAATAGTCAGATAAAAGAAACAAATAATAAAGAAAAAGGATATCAAGTTGAGTATCTCCAAGAAAACTCAGAGACCCAAATAGCTGCTATAGAAGAGGTTTTCCAGGTTATTGCTCAAAATTACTTCCCTGAAGATCTTGATGAAGAAATGGAAATGGTTTCCCAGAACCCTAATGCTGAAAACAGATGGGAAGAAGATATAAACAGTAACATTGAGTATGATTTTCAAGAGTATAAATGGGAAGAAAACTATAAATGAAAAAGATACCTACAAGACCTTTTGACCGAGTTGGCCATAGAAGCCGAATTAGAGATAACCTGGTCAACCATGAATGGGTACCAGAATGAATATATACAAAATACTAGTTCTGAAGATGAGGTTCAGCCTATGGAATTGGATGAAGTATACCTTATCGACATATCTCAGTGGGGTGAGCTAACTACAGGGCTCGAATTTGAAGAAACCAATGAATATCATGAAAATGCTGTTGCTTACTTTGGTCTTGACCCAAGCTGGCACGAGGCTGATTATAGTGACTTTTTTCCAGAAATTCCAGGCTTGAACTTTGACTCTGAAGACTGGTCTCAACCAATGGACACTTATATTGACTAGGAATACTATGACTCTCAATAATGGTAAAAAAAAATTAATCAAAATTCAAAAAAAAAAAACACTCTATACATATAATTCTTTGATTAGTAGTAAATTAAACATTTCGTATTAGTAGTTTAGATATATCAATGATTGCTATGTAATTTACGAACATGAATATTCAAAAAAAAAAAAATTACGTGTTGCCAACATACATACTTTTTTTTTTCCTTTTATTATTATTAAATTCAGATCTGACATTAGAGCAAGGATGGTTAGGATGAAATAGGGTGAGTTGTGGGGCCCTATTTGAAAACATTGAACTTAATTTATAATGTCAAGGAGTATAATTAGTTAGGAACGATTTATCAACCTCTTTTCAGATCTATATGCAAGGAACGAACTAAGATAACTCTTGAACTCTCGACACGACCACACAAAATTGACCCCTAACAATTTTTGCCTTTTACTCTTGAGATAAAAGAGCCGCAGCAAAAGACTAATCAAAAAAAAAAAAGAGAAACCTCATAAATGACGAATCTAGTGATCTAGAAGGAAGATCGAAGATAAAAGTAAAAATTTAAAACCGTACTTAGCTACTAATATGCAACATACAGAAGATACAATCACAAGGAAGAAAAAGAACAAATTGACTAATCCCTCCAGAAACCTCAAATTTATTGGACCCAAAACTTCAAAAAAAAAAAGCTAGGAAGAATAAATTACAGTAGTCAAAAGGAAGGCATAGAACATTCAAGTTACACAACAAAAGGAATTATTGCAAGGGCAATACCAAAGAAGGACACAACTGGAACGGCTAGAGTGAGGAGAAAATTCAATGAAACAGAGATTAGAAATTAAGTAAGAACGAGAAACATATACAAAATTGAAAGTTAAGAATCCATTAAGGCTAAGAAAACCTTCACCAGACTATTGGTTTGAGCAGTACTAAATATAATAGAACTTACGAAAATTAGACAAAGGCTAGTTAATAAAAAACTGGAGTAATGATTATATTGGGAAAGAGAACTCTGGCAGAAGTGAAAATAATGACATACTGCAAAAGGTGAACATGATAAAAAAAAAAAAAAAAAAAAATTAAACCACAGAAATAGAAGTTAAATACACATTAGTACTACAAGAAATTTAAAAAACCCGACGTTAAATTCAATTCAGCCCAGGTTGTCAGTATCCTGGCAAAATTGAAACTGAAAAAGACCGAACATTCAGACTTGCGATATTTAAAGAGAAAATGGACCACCAACTATACTCCGTGTTGTTAAATTACTTACAACATCGGCAAATTCTGCAAACTTACAATGAATGACAAAGAAGGCATTTAGAAAAACAGAGTAAATTCTTCCAGGTCAAAACGGGGAATTTATACAAGAAGAATAAAAAGAAGGAGAAAAAGCCTCTTAAAGTTCTATGAGAAGGAGAAGTAGAATGAATTTTAAGCCTAGTATACAACCACCCAACAGGAGCCCATTTCGGGAAGGACATTGTGTTTAATAAAGTCCGCAGTCATTATTATTGGCCTCAGATATACCATAACATATGAGAATATGTCAGAATGTGTGAACACTGCCAAATGCATGGAAACAAAAGATCCAAGGAATTGTTACACCTGATACCTGTTCAAGCCCCATTTCATAGAATAGGCATTGATATAGTCAGTCTATTACCTATAATACAAATACATTATAGTCGCAACTGACTATATGACTAAATGGCTGGAGGCTCGTGCAATTCCCATGGCCAATGCACAGACCGTGGCTAAGTTCATCTATAAAGAGATAGTATGTCGACACAGATGCCCTAGTATCATACTATCTGATCAAGGGTCACATTTCAATAACTACGTAGTAGATGAACTTCTTGCGGCTATGAGTATTAAACATCATAATTCTACCCTGTATCACCCACAGACGAATGGGCTTGTGAAGCGTTTTAACAAAACGCTATGCAATGCAGTAGCAAGATTAGTTGCTAACGTAAAGGACTGGAACTTACTCATCCCACCAATTTTGTTTGCCTACCGTACAGCAAAACAAGCTACGATGTAGAAAACTCCTTTCTATCTGGTGTATGGAAGAAGTGCTAGAATACCCATCCACCCTAGTGTGTCTGAGGATCTCTTAAACTACACTATAATACAGTGGTTGTATGAGATCGACAGTGATCTATCCGAGGCCCGTGAGAATACCCTGCGCCAAATTAAGAGAAAACAGCAGAAACAAAAAAGGTGCCACAATCAACAAATCAAAGCCACTGTCGACTTTAGCATTGGTGAAAAAGTTCTAGTACTAGACGCCCAGAAATTGGGGACCCACAGCTATAAATTAACGCCAAAATAGAAGGGACCATACTATATACATGCGAAGCTTCCAAACGGTGCGTATAAATTAAGAGAATTAAGTGGAAGTGTATTAGCAGCACCATTGAATAAACAATTACTAAAGCCTTACTTTGAAAGAAAAGATATAAATACCCAACTAGGAATGTAGCAATCAAATCTTCCATCCATCAAGAACAGATAGAGAAAAATGAATAATAACCCAATCGTAGCCCAGATCCAATTTGACCAAAATATACTCAACCTTGACCCTATTAATTTTATACCCCGTCCTTATAACTTTGACCAAGATGTTGCTACCCAAGTCTCTCTAACTCTTCAACAGTTACTCCTAGCTAGCAGAAGGAGAGACCGCGTTGAGACCTTAGTCTACATGTACTATCTGGGTTCTATACTTGATGCCTTGCCAAAGACTCAAGTCAATAGTCTCAAGGAACTTGTCTCCCGGCACTATAAAACTACTGCCTGTAGAACCTACTATATTTTTGCAAGATTTGGGGTTAAACAGTTATACTGTTCTACCTTCATTATGCTTACTAAAATTTGGCAACTGACCAATGCTGAATTTCAGTTCCTTCTTTAAACTCGTGGTACTCGTTAACAAGTATGGAGGGATTGTGAGGGGTGGTTAAATACCCTTAGCATATTTTTTTTCATTTATTTTTCTTATTATGTATTTTGTATTAGGTTTTGAAGTTGCCTTTTTAGTAAATTAGATTAAGATTAGCATAACCGGTTGAGGACTGGTAATTATAACCAAACATCCTTATCTTATTTAGGATAAACGTGAACATTTGAACATTTGAATATTTGGACATTTAGACATTTGAACATTTGGATATTTGAATATTTGAACATTTGGATATTTGAACATTTGAATATTTAAACATTTGGTATTTCTTAAAATATTCAAATGTTTAAATGTTCAAGGCTTGGCAAGAGAAGCCATAATTAAAATTAGAAAACTCATTGTATTTTTTTGAGCGTGAAAGCTATAAAAGTGCTGACTTTTTGCCCTAATAAAGAACAACTCAGTAGAGTTACAACTTCAAAATTATTATAGTAGAAGTTTGTCCTTTAAAAATTATTATTTCTCTTGACCCAAAAACGTTCATAACAAAACCAATTGATAAAGTACTTTCCTGACCCGATGTCTTGTTAGAAAATCATTTTTATTGAAAGCTTCATTAAGATAGAGTTGGAGTCTTTGAAACTCGAGTAGAAGTGCTCACTCTAGTTATTTAATTCACTTTAGTTATCCAATTCACTCTAGTTATTCAATTCACACTAGTTATCCATTTTACCCCAAACTTTTATTAAGAGTTACTTACCTAATTAAATTGTTAGCTACATTTAAATACCCTGATATTAGTCTAGAGATCTAAATATCACTTATAACAAAACTCATTACTCGAAAGAGAATCCAAGTTTGTATTATTTCACCTCTTTTATAGTAGATTAGCTTGCTAACCCCGTGATCTATTGTTGCGGTATTTATCAAACAATAAAGACCGATCATCGAAATTACCTGTGATCTCGTGACATCACCAGCAAAATCGAAGATCCGATCCCAATATTAATAACCCGTGATGCAAATTGCCAATTGTAGATTAAATTAAATTACTGATCGCTACCCAAAATCGTAATTTTATTACACGTGACTCAAAAGACACAATACGTTTGAAATAGAATAGAAAAGTAGTATTAGTAATAATATCAAAGATATTATTAAGCTAAAATTGCCAGTTTAAATAAGAGAAACTTATTCAAATCCCGGAAACTACATTGCAAGGCCCGAAGAACCTTAAAGCCTGGACCAAATCTTTTCATGCCTTTTCCGAAGCCTTCCATCTTAAGGTTTTAGGTGTCTTGAAGTGAAAGATTGAATTAGTTAGAGTTTAGCTTAGTCAGATTAGCTAGTTTTAATCCAAAATCGTTAGTTACGCCCTTCTCAGCATGCATTTCTGTGTATCGAGTTTTCATAGAGATGAGGGCCTGAAGGGCTCTCATATAACTAGGAATTTATATTGCGAAAAATTAACAGTATATATTAAGTATTTTTTATTACTAACAAGTTTGACTAATTACAATTCTAACCAAAAAT